GGGATTCAATTGAACAATTAATCCGGGAACCATGAAATAAAGGAAACCAGTGACAAACCTCGGGGTCGCGATGCTTTTCTCTGGACGAAATGTCCACCCACAGCCTCCTTGCAAACACTGGTCCAATATCCAGCGGAAGTCGTATGAGTACGATCTTAGTCCTGCTTGAAAACTTAACCATGGCCATATATCAAGGCTACTATTATGCCTACAATGTCAACGCTCGCCATAATCGAGGGAATTTGCGCGCCATGTGTGACTCATGACGATGGAGTCCCATAAGCTCTGCAACATCCCCGCTGATATTGAGGATCCGGTTCACGTCTTCATTATTCTGGTATGTCTGATAGATTTGTTTTTAGAACGATTACTGATGATGTCTAACTTTGGGCTTATGAAAGTGTAAACTCACTGGTCCTAGAAGGATACTGATTGTCGCTTGCGCCATAATCCTCTTCACATGCGGCAAGATATCAATGGGCTTTTCCTCCTGTGCCGTATTCAGAAGCTCTGAGACACCAAGCTCGAAAACAGGCCATGCTGGTTTGGCGATGAGTTTGATTTATTCCACTCAGCCAGACCTGGTTGACATACCTTTTCTTGCAATTGTACGTAACTTCTTCGTTGAAAGCTCTCTCACGACACTGTCAACGTCGCGGAAAAAGGTACCTCCATGGATGTGGCGCATCCAATGAATGCCGAGAATCTTTACGAGCGTTAGCAACCCCCCTTTTGTAACAAAAGACGAGGGCATCTTACTTCTTCCATTCCACGCTCAAAACTGAACGACGATTCTTCTGTAAGAACCTTTCGCGCATACTCTTGAGAGACGATATACTCCATCTGCGGGAGGAATCAGTTTTGGAGAAAGTCTGTTTCATGAATAGCCGCCACAACATTACCATCCCGCCTGAAGGAAACGATTGGGCCATGTTCTCGTAGCGCCCTGGTCATCGACTCTGCGGTTGCGTGATATATGTCATGGTCCTATCAGAGAGTAAGCATGTTCATCCGCGTAATGGTCTTTGTACCTGCATCGACCCACTGTCAGAGGAATAAAAGGGGGTAGCGGAAGCCTGGACACCTGATTAAGCCTTAGTAAAAATGTGCTTGTGAGGGACCAGCGCTTTATGGAACAACAGCCAAACCTTATAGTTGAAAGTTCTTCGATGTATTATCCAACCAACCGCCAGGCAAATGCATGCCAATATGGCATTTTTCATTTCAAATGGGGACATGATCATGGGAACTTGAAAGTCCCAACGCAAAAGAACAATTTGAGCCACAAAGCGAGCGCCGAGGGGTGAAAAAGACATGAATTGCACACGATGAATGGGATTAAGTGATACACACCGCTATGCTTGGGATGCAAGAACTCAAATACATGATTCTCATCCGACTGGGGGAGGGTAGTTCTAGGTCAGTCATACATTTTTTTGTCTCGCCCAACTCAGTTTGATTCTGTATGTCTCACCGAGAGATGTTCGGGGTCTTATTCACTAAAAGAAACTCCAAGACTATGAACCGCACATGCCACAACCACTTGGGTGTATGAACTTATGAATATCTAGGTAGGTTCCTGAGGAGCCACATATTGTGTCTTGTCCAACCGATTTTAAATTCTTCACGTTCCACCAAAAGATATCCGGTCTTGATTTACTTATACAAGCCTCGATTAGATACAAACAAGCTTGAATTCGATACGATAGACACTACACAAGCCATTATCGCCACACTATTCATGCCTCAATTTCTCCAGATCAAATACGGAGTTGACTTGACCGATGACTATAGACCAGGAGGCACCCGCAATATGGCGCGTATGGGTACCACAAACAATTGAACCTACGTG